ATGTACCTCCTCACAAGATTTTAGGTTAATATGTGGAAATGTATAAGAGTAAGTAGCTTCAAAGGATATAATTCTGGCGTGTAAATATTGACACTACCAAAGAAAAGTAAAACAAAACTGTCAGTCTTACAAATGTATCTGAAGGAATCTAAATACTGTTGGGATTGATATCTGTAATCCTTAATTTTAAAAAACACACGAATTCTTTTTTAACTGCTGGAAATTTTACATCATTTAATTTTCTCTTTAAAGTTTTCCTCCACATCCCTCACAGAATTTTATCCTCACAAAGTATTTTTATGCTTGAAAGTCATTTCAATATCAGATCTATCTATCTATCTATATATGTGTGTGTGTGTGTGTGTGTGTGTGTGTGTATGTAAACTGAAATTATTTGTAATGGGTTATAGGAGAGTTATACATGCACATATCATACTTTGATCATTTTCACCCCCATCAGTCCTTTGCCACACTCTCCCTGGTTTCACATTTTTGGAGGGGATTTCAGATGTACAGTATATTTTTCTTGTATTGTTTTCCCTATCACTCCACCTTTGCATCCCTCCCCCTCTTTTATGTTCCCTTCCTCTTGTGTAATAATAGTTTCCCTTCTACTTTCTTGTCATCCTTTTTAGATTCCACATAATAGGCAAAACATCTAATATTTGTCTTTCTGAGTCAAGCTTATTGGGTTTAATCTGATGGTCTCCAGATTCATCGATTTCCTTGCAAGTGACACAATTTTGTTCTTCCTTGTGGCTTAGTAATACTCTCATGTATATATATCACATTTTCTTTATCCATTCATCTGTTGATGGGCATCTAGGCTGATTCCATATCTTGGCTATCATGAATTGTGCTGCCATAATCCTGGATATGCAGGTATCCCTCGTATGCTGGCTTTAATTTGCTTCAGGTGCATGTTAAGGCGTGATTCAACTGAGTCAAATATGGTACCTCTATTTTTAGTTTTTTTAGGAATCTCTATGCTGACTTTCATAGAAATTGTACTAATTTACATTCTTACCAGCAGTGTAGAAGGGTTCCTCTCCCTTTTTCATCCTTGCCAGCGTTTATTGTTTTTTGCATTCTTGGAGGTAGCCACTGGGGTGAAATGGAATCTCAATGTAATTTTGATTTGTATTTCCCTAAAGACTGTAGATGTTGAACCTTTTCTAATATACTTATCAGCTGTTTATATTTTTCTTGATAAGTGACTGTCCAAATCATTTGCCCATTTATTAGTTGGGCTACTGTATTTGATTTTTGGTATTTTTTGAGTTTTTTATATATTCTAGATATTAACCCTCTGTTGGAAGAGTAGCTGGTAAAAATTTCCCCCCATTCTGTAGGCTGCCTCTTCACTCTGCTAGTTGTTTCCCTTGCTGTACAGAAACTTTTAAATTTGATATAGTCCTATTTATTGATTCTTGTTATTATTTCCTTCGCTATTAGTGTCCTGTTTCGGAAGTCTGCCTGTGTCTCTGGCTTCAAGTGCTTCTCCTGTGTTTTCTTTTAGCAGTTTCAAAGTTTCAGTCATACATCTAGGTTTTCAACACATTTTTAATTAATTTCTGTATGCAGAGCATGAAATAGGGATATAGTTTCAATTTTCTACAAGTGAATATCTACTTTTCCCAGCATCATTTGTTAAAGAGGCTGTCTTTTCACGAGTGTATATTTTTGGCTCCTTAATCCAGAATCAGATGGCCATACATAGTTGCATGTGTTTGTTTCTGTGTCTTCTATCCTGTACCATTGTCTATGTGGCTATTTTTGTGCCTGTACCATGCTGTTTTTATTATTGTGGCTTTATAGTATAATTTGAAATCAGGTATTGTGATACCTCCAAGTCTTGTTCTTTTTGCTTCAGGATTTCTTTGGCTATTCTAGGTCTTTTGTGTTTCCATATGAATTTTAGGATTTTTTTCTAGTTCTGTGAAGATTGTCATTGGTATTTTGATGGGCATTGCATTGAGTTGTTAGATCACTTTTGGTAATATGGCCATTTTGACAGTATTAATTCTCCCAACCCATGAACATAGAAGGTCTTTCCATTTTTGAGTGTCTTCTTTAATTTCTTCAGTGTTTTGAATTTTTCATTGTAGAGGTCTTTCATCTTCTTGGTTAGATTTTTCCCTAGGTAATTTATTTTATTTGAAGCTATTGTGAATAGGATTGTTTTCCTGATTTCTTTCTAAGTTAGTCCATTTTTTGTGTACAGTAAAGCTGTTGATTTTTTATGTTGATTTTATGTCCTGAAACATTGCTGAGTTCATTTATCAACTCTAAAAGTCTTTTAGTGGAATGTTTAGGGTCTTTTAAGTATAGAACCATATCATCTTCAATCAGGATAATTTGACTTCTTTCCTATTTGTATCTCTTTTATTTTTACTCTTGCCTAATTACTGTAGCTGAAATTCCAAGAACTATATTGAATATGACTGATAAGAATGGATGACCTTGGCTTGTTTTTGATGAGATTGTTTTTCTAAATTTTCTTTGAGAAAAGGTTTTAAATGGTAAAATATTCCTTCTAGATTGACATATTACAGTCATTGTTAGTACACAATCTATCAAAACCACATGAATGCCTTACAAATTTCTATAAGTACTTATCAAACATAAAGAATACAATTTTATTGGAAATGCATGCTTTTATGAGCCACATGGGACTATTCATTTATGCACATATAAATATTACTTATTGCTTGATATAAACAAGGCTTAGCATAAATTGTTTCTGCTTTACATTTTTATAGATGTAAATGCTATGAAAAGTTGACATAAATTATAAGTGGGAATAGAAATTTTTTATTATAGCACTGCCAATCAAGTCTATGAATTCCTTCCAAGTAATATGCCAAAATTATATAGTGATTTATTATAAAAATATTTTTCATCTCTTGTTGACTGTTAATTTGATTAAGTCTTTCTTCGGTGTTATTGAAACCAGAGTTGGAAATGTCTTACTTTAGAAAAAGTTTTGTTAAAATAGTCATTTGGAGTAATTTACTTTCTTAATTCTGGGACTAAAACCAGAAACACCTTTACTAAAGGATATCAGATACTTATTAAACCTGTTATGCTTCCATGTAACCTAATATAGCCAGAAACTGTGGGGAAAATAAAAATATTAATTGAAATATACAATACAATACCTTTTTGGGAAAATGATTTTATTATAGATATACTGTAAATATATTTTCATTAACTCATTAAAATGCACATTTGTTTCATTCAGATTTTGGAAAATACTTTTATAACCCTATTAGCAAAACCAACTCTCATTGTGAAAAGAAACAGCCACAATGTAACCCAATATTCAGTATAATTAATATGCACTAATATGAAAAAACTGGGCCAAGGATTTAGCTCAGTGGTTCTGCCACCTGCCTTGAAAGCACAAGGACCTGAGTTCGATCCCCAGTACCAAAAAAACAAACAAAAAACATAAAACTGATATGAAAAAACCTAGTCATATTTAAAGTCCCCTTCCTGAAATGCATTATTTATTCAAAGAAGCATAAAAATAAATCTTCACACTCCTGAATTTTTTTCCTAAGATGGACAGCTCAGGCTTGGAACTTTGTCAGGAGTTTGTAGCATTGATGACAAAATAGCCCTGTTCCTGGATTTTTGTTGCTTTGCTCTCAAGGGACTCTTAGGCATCCTTTGACAATAGTTAGGGGATAAAAAGCACAAAAAACATTACATAAAACTTGTCACCTGTCCTGCTCCCCCATACCATAATATGGTATATCTGAATACTAAACGTGCTGGTCTGGGCCAAAATACCTTGTTGGTACTTATGCCATACTGTGTCCTTACAAGAATATGTGTGAGACAGGGAGCTTTGGGGTTTTTGTGCCTTGATTAAAGGAGGCCCCCTGAATCCATATGTATGTGTGTGCATGTAGCTTTTTTTTTTTTCTAAACTGTTGTTTTGGTGCCTTAGAGGTTCTTAGGCTTTGGGAAGATGCACTTTTGCAAATTAGATGAAGCGTAAGTCTTTCTTCTGTACAGTGAGGGGAAATCGATTATTCTTTTTTTTTTGGTACTGGGGATCGAACTCGGGTCCTTGCACTTACGCAGCAGGCGGCGAAACCACTGAGCCAAATCCCCAGCCCGAAGATGATTCTTTTAAAAGGGGCTATGCCCACCTAGTCCCTGGGAAGTCTTGTCATACACCCAATAATGTACATACACAAGTTTGAAGATACCTTTCCTACAGTACTTCTTATTGTATACAATATTATGCTGATATAGAGCTGGTACTAATACTTTCAGAGTTAGACTTTGTTTTGTGGTGCTGGAATTGAACTGAGGGCCTCACACCTACTATGTAAACATTCTACCCCTGTGTAGAGTAAACTTTTTAGAGTTGGTACTGATAGTAATTAACATAGAAAGGCAAAGATTAAGGCCACAAAAATATTGAATTAATAAATATATATAAGTAGAAATATCGGTTTATTTTCATTGATGTATTTCTCCTTTTATGTTTAAATTAATACTTTTAAATTTCATTTTTTATCAAATAGTTGTATATTTCTGGTTAGAAACTTAGAACACATGAAATTTGCACTGCAGTAATAAAGTTCTTTAAATATTAATTAGAATAATTATAATTGTCATTCCTGCCTTGCTAAAATTTCACTTGAATAATTTTCACATTTTCAAACTAGATTTTCTATATTATACCTTACTATTTACTGTATTATACCTTAGTTTTAAAAAGTGTTTCAAATAATAAAGCTATAATAGAATTGTTGATGATGGAAAAGGGCTAGAATTTTGGTTGTAGTTTTAAATAATTCTGAATTTACCAAACATTGTAAAGGGGTATATCAAAGTAATTCATAGTCATAGATTACCATTGGCAGGTGATATATATTTAGTAGAGAGAATGATATTTTGAAAAGATTAAACTTACAAATTATGAACTAATATAAATCTTGCTGTTTGCCAAAGTAAAACCTTAGCTTTATTGTTGACAGAAAATGCTTCCAAGGCAAGATTGAAACAAGAGCAGTACCAAGAACTTAAGTTGCCTGCAGAAACCATGCTGTCCCAGGAAACTCTACTACCACTCGAAGGGAACGCTTGGAAATCAACAGACGTGAGTCCCTGGTATAGCCTTCTTTTGCTGTGTAATAGATTACCAAAATTTTACGCTTTAAAACAACACCAGTTTGTTATCTTACACTTCTGTAGGTTAGAATTCTGACGCCCCCACCCCCACCCCACTGGTCTAAAATAGTATCTTTCTGGCCTTACTCCTCCCTGGAGCACATCTGTTTCCTTGTGTTTCCCAGCTTCATGTGTTCTAAGAGAAACTGCACTTGTCTTTTGACTCTGTTTTGGTGGGTTTTTGTTATATAGGCTTTTAAATATGAATAAGGTCAAATTATCAGTTTTCTTTTAGGATTTGTGCTTTTAAAAAAATTTAAAGACATTCTTATCCCAATATAATAAACATTTTTATTTTTTCTAAGTGTTGAGATCCTGTGTCTTCTAATACTTTGTAGTATACGATAGAGTTATTTTATTTGTGCCCTGGGAATAGGCAATATTTAACTTATTAAGTAGTCCATCTTCCTCTACTCACTTAAAAAACTTTATTATGAGGGCCAGGGATTTAGCTCAGTGGTTTTGCCACCTGCTGCGCAAGTGCAAGAACCAGAGTTCGATCCCCGGTACAAAAAAAAAACAACAAAAAAACAACTTTATTATGAAATAATTGTGGAATCACAGGAAGTTGTAAAAATAGTAGAGCCCTGTATATCCTTCACCTAGCTTCCCCCAGGGTTGACATCTTATGTAGCTGTCATGTCAAAACCAGGAAACATGTTGGTACGTCAGTACTAATTTGACTGCAGACCTTATTCAATATTTAGCTTTTCAATTCAGTATTTAAGTTTTCTTTAACCTGCATTTGTATGTTTGCGTATGTGGTTCTGTGCAATTTTATCACTTACACTTTTGTGAACCAGACCCACGCTCAGGATAGGAAACTGTTCCATCCCCACAAAAGAAATCCTTAAGGCCGCCTGCTCTGACCCCACCTATAATCTCACCCTCTGGCAATAATTATCCTTCCTCCACCTCTTTAGTATTTTATCAGAGACCCCACCCCCACAACAGGTTCCCATCTCCTGCTCAGTGCTAAGATGCAAAGTTAAAAGAAAAACTCAAAGACAGAATTAAAGAGACAGAGAAATGGGGAGCCAGGATGGCCAGTGTTGAGAAACCAGCAAAGACCCTGGCCAGTCCAAGCCACTAGTATTTTTTGATGACATCATGGTCAGATGGGGGTAAAGTGGTATGTGAGGGGACGTGCAGTTGCTATGGTAATGTTACTGATGCAAGCAAGGCCTGTAAAGGAAAAGTCAAAGCATTCTTGAATTAGGAACAGAACGTACAAAATATAGGGTTGTAGTTAGCAAATAACCTTGTCTTTCTAGTTAAGGTTTTAAGTGTGGGAATGGAATAGTAGGACTAGCTTTTCAAAACAAGCCAATTGTGGGGTTAACTCTTTACAGCCTGCACTGCTCACAGCCTGCTTTGGGCATAATCAATAAGGCAGTCTCCTATTTTGGTGGTTTTTGTTTCTAGAGAGTTACACAAATGGAATCAGTGTATATCTTTTGAGATTGTATTTTTCTCAGTGTAAAGCTCTTGAGGTACATTCAGGTTGTTATACATAGCAGTAATTTTTTTATTGCTGAGCAGTGCCACATTATGAAGATGTGCTAGAGTTTGTTTAACCATTTTCCCAATGAAGAATATTTAGGTTTTTCTGACTTTGGGCTAATTTTGAATAAAGCGATTGTGAATATTCATGTACACATTTTTGTATGTGAAGTTTTCATATCTGTAGGATAGATGTCCAAAATTGTGATTGTTAGTTTGTATGCTGTTTTATAAGAAACTGTCCAACTGATTTCCAGAGTAGCTGGCTATACCCTTTCATATTCCCACCACCAGTGTATGAGAGATCCAGTTTCTCTGCTTCCACACCAACTTTTGGTATAGTGCATTACTCCTATTTTCATTTAAGTTGTTGTAATAGGTTTACAGTGATATCTCATTGTGGTTTTAATTTGCATTTCCCAAATGAAATTGAACGTCTTTTCATGTGCTTATTTGGGCCATTATGGATTGTCTTTGGTGCTATGTATGTTCATATCTTTTGCCCATTTTCTAGTTGAATTGTTTGATTTTTACCATTGAATTTTGTGAATTCCTCATATATTCTGGACATAAGTCCTTTATTAGATTGTGATCTGCATGTATTTTCTTTCTGTATGTGGCTGATCTTTTTTTTAACAATATCTTTCATTTTAAAATTTTAAATTTTGATGAAGCCTAATATTGCCATTTTTTTCCCTTTAGGAATCATGCTTCATTTGCAGAGTTTATGTCCCCTCATCTTCCTCGGTGTAATGGTTTTAGAAGCCATGACTGCAAGCCATGATTGATGACTGGGTATTTTGGCTTCTTTTATAAACAAGAGATCCCAGTGTCTGAGTATAATTTCAAGCAGTGGGTCCATATTCAGAACTCATGTCTTTGGCGAATACTTTTCATCTGTGTTTACCTCTACAGAGTTGAGTTCCTTGTTTTCTCCATCCTTTTATGGATCTAGAGCCCCAAAGGTCCACAACTTTATTGTGCGTTTCTATTCATGCTCTCATCCATGAAGATCTTAGTCTTGGCTTTCAGCATTATTGCGTCTTTTTAATTTTCACATTTATATTTTCTCTTTCATTGCTTTGTGTTTGGAGATGGGAGGTATCCTCAAAGCATGAACTTTTAGAACCCTCTTGACTAGAAATCTGTTCTCCCCAGAATGAGAATGTATGAAATTCTCATTCATTTGTGCATGTGTGTGTGTGTGTGTGTGTGTGTGTTTTAAACTGTGTATTTCTCCTACTAGAAGGAAATATCCTTCAGAGAATTTTTAGTCTTATTCAATACTGAGTATTCAGCTGATAAATTTTTATTAATGAAGAAGTGAATAACTAATAGACACTACATACATGCTACCTTTTCTTCTTTTCCTCCTTTGGTCTCCTGCTCAGAATGCCTTTTTAGTGTTTCCTGCCATTACCCTGTGGAGGAGATTGGAATTCTTTCTTGGCTTTCTTTCCCAACCCAATTAAGTACTGAATTCAGCTATTTTTATAGCAACTCTGAAAGGTACATAAACTTGAAATTTCACTGTTTCTTGGGAAATTGCTCACAGATTGAAAATGTATCAACTGTTTTAAAAGATAAGGCATTAAGTCAAAATTATTTTTAAATTTGACACCAGTCTATTTGCTGGTGATGGCCTTTAGGTACAAAATAGACTTGAATAATCCTGTTTATTTTGGGGCCAAAGATATAAAATGCCACCTAGATTTTTGTATCAGTCTTTAAATCTTGATTATGCCACATGTTGTATCAGCTAGAAAAAATGGTACCTTTCTCTCAAAACAAGTTGAGAAACTGGATTTTCATTTTTCAAAATATGGCTGTATCAACAATATCGCATCATCCTGCTGACAAGCATTTCCTCTTGTTGTCAGGAACATTTGATGCAAGCCACTATGTCCTCTTCGATAGGCTCTCCTGTAGCAGAAGACAAAATCTAACAAGTTGAACAGTAAAGCTAATTGTTGTTGCAGTGTGCTGCATGGGAGGTACCATATCCACGTTAATTTTCTTATGTTCCTAATACAGAACAAGAAGGAAATGATATTGACAATTGCTTAGGCAGAATGAAGGTACTTAAACATATCTTTTTAAAAATTGAAAAAAAAAATCTCTTTAACCATTCTCTTTCTACAAATGAAAGAAAAATGACCTTAAAAGCAATAAATAAAATTCTTAACAGGATAGAGCTTTCAAACAAGCAGAACAGTGATGCTTTCAAAACTAAAGGCTTTACATTTATGACAGACATGAGTATATTTACTCTGTGCCTACTGTCCAGAATTTTTTAAGTAAATTTGCTAATTAATAAGGCTCTTTGTAGCTTCTGACCACCTCTAAAGACACTCTTCGCCTGTTTGAAGAGATTGAACAATGAGGTTGTGATTTTTTTCGTCGCAGTCGTTTCCATGGCAACAGATAGGGATGCTGAGAAGTGGTTCACACAAAATTAAAGCTGACCAGAATCTTCAGTCTAGTGCTGAGTTGCTAAATTGATAGCAATAGATGAGAAATGTTTATTTTCTACTGCTTCTACTTACTATTTTGTTAAATGAAGAATATTACAATTTTTATCCTTGGGTTTATCTCCATGTCATTTATTATAGTAGCAAAAATTTGAACTCATCAAAGTTGTTAGAAAAGTAGAAATTATATTCATTCTTAGTTATGTTAATGTATCATTCCTCTGTCTCTTTCTATCATTGTTTATGCTGTAAAGTCCTCCTATTTTCATGTTTATGCTTATTATTACTCTTTGTTAATAGCTCTAGGAACTTTTTCTTCTTTCTTTCCCAATCCTCCCTCTTCCCTCCTACTCTCCCTCCCTCCCTCTCTTCCTTCCTTTCTAGTGGTGCTGGGGATTGAATCAGGGACTCACACATGCTAGGCAAGCGGCTTGCCACTGAGCTACAACTTCAGCCTTATTCTTTTTAAATTAGAGAAAACTTATTACAAAAACTCCAAACAATATAAAGGGCAAAGAATGAAGAGCTAATTTTCTTCTTACTCCTCTATACTCCTTGAGTTTCTCTCTGAAAGGAACTATTGATAGCAATATTTTATGAATTTTTTTGGAAATATTCAATGTCTACACATTTATTTTACCCAAGTGGAATTATTCACTATATATTACTCTACAGCTTCCTTAGAACTAAGCAATATATCTTGGTTGTCTTCCTACGTAACAAATGTAATCATTCATTTTATATTTTTCCAAAGTAAGCGTCTTTCACTAAAGTATATATTGTAAACATGTTTATTTATTTTTGTTTATTTTATTAGTCATTCATTTTTGCAGTACTGGGAATTGAACCCTAGGCCTTCACACTGAGCTACATCCCAGCCCCTTTTTATTTTGAGACAGGGTCTGGCTAAGGCACTAAGTTGCACAGACTAAGCTTGAACTTGCGATTCTCCTATCTCAGCCTCCCAGAGTGCTGGGGTTACAAGCATGTACCTCTGCCCCTGGCATGAAAACGTTTCTGAATCAGTACATATGGTTGTCATGTTTTCTTGATGCATAAATTAATTTTAATTTATGTAATCATTCCCTATTGGTCGGTCTGTCTGTCTGTCTTTCTTTCTTTCTTTGTGCTGGGGCTTGATCTCAAGACCACACGTATGAAAACACTCATTGTACCACTGAAGCACATGTCCAGCACCCTTCTTATCAGTATCTAAGAGCTACTTGTTTACTGAAGAACCATTGTATGGTTCTTTGTCTATTCATTTTCAGTTTTTCCTTTGATTTGATTTTCTGGCTTTTTTGCCTATAGAAGTCTTTAAGTTTTGTGTTTTGGGGTTTTTTTTGAGACAGGGTCTTGAATGCTGGGATTACAGGTGTGACACCCCACTCTGACCTCCACTTTAATTTTTATGTGGTCAAATGCATCTGCCTTCCCTGTATGACTTCTCCATTTTAAATATTATTATTTTTTATACATTTTAAATATTCTTAGAAAGACTTTCCTTACTATGAGACTTTATAAAAAGTCATCTTGTTAGCTCAGTGGTGCCACCTCATAAGTGAAAGATCCTAAGCTCGATCCCCAGTACTCCCTCCCTCCACCAAAAAAAGGTTCATCTTGGCTTTTTTCTTAAAAGACTATGTTTTAGACAACATGGTGGCACATGCCTGTAATCCTAGCACTTGGGAAACTAAGGCAGGAGGATTCCTGTGAGTACAAAGCCAGCCTGGACTACATAGTTCAAGGCCAACCTGAACTATAGTAGATCCTGTCTCAAACAAACAAGCAAACAAAAAAACAGACTATGTTTTAGAACCATTTTAGGTTAACAGGAAAAGTGAGCAGAAGGTGTATAGATTTCTCCTTATACTCTTTCTCTCTACACACACAGCCTCCCTCACTACCAACATCCTCTACCAGAATGGTACATTTATTAGAATCAGTGACCCTACAGTGACACATCATAATCACAGTCTGTGATTACATTAGGAATCACTCTTGGTGCTGTGCATTCTATGGGTTTCGACAAATGTATAATGACACATATCCACCTTTATACCATTGTACAGAATATTTGCACTATTCTAAAAATCCTCTGTACACAGCCTATAAATCTGTCTTTCCCTCCAACCCCTGGCAACCGCTGATCCTTTTATTATTTTCATTATTTTGCCTTTTTCAGAATGTCACTGAGTTGGAGTCACACAGTTTGTAGCCTTTCAAATTGACTCCTTTTACTTAGTAATATCCATTTAAGTTTCTCCTATGTATTTTTTTCCCATTAAGTTTATTGGTACATTTTAGGTATAAAATACAGTTATATTCATCATTGGGATTTTGTACTTGTACATGATGTATCTTGATTCTTATTTTTTTCCCCATTCTCCTGCCCTCCCTTCACCCCCTCCATCCTTCCCTATTTGCAAAGATTTTGTTTCCATTTTTTTCCTTTTCCCATATTTTTTCTTTTCCCTTCTTTCCTTTCCCCT